CAATGAAATAAATTATGGAAAAACACTGAGTTTTTTATTTATATATTTTTTGGTACAGTGTTTTTTCAATAATTTATTTAACTGATTTGTCGATTGAATTTTAAACTGAAATTAGGTGTAAATAATCTACACACCATGAAGAACATTGTCATTAAATTTCACCCAAAAAATCCATCTGGAAGCACATCAAACACAGACATCTGGATGGTGGATCCCGTCATGTAATTCTGAAAGGATCATTCCTCATTAAAAATATGAAAAAATATGTTTTACTCCTTGAATAGATCTTATTTAGTTCTATTAAAAATTATTTGATTAAAGTTTGCCAAAATAGGAATCAATGAGTCTTATTTTGAGATTAAAACAATGATAATCCTGTTTATAAACTTTTTTGTCCTATTTAGAGATTTTTTTTCTTTAGTGTTTGTGTTTGTTCTTGGCCCCCCTTATGATTGAGTTCTGGCTCCGTCCCTGGTTGGCGCCACCTCATCATCCCTTATTCATTTACTTCAATTAATCTTTTTCTTTTCCCTTATTTTTTATGGGCAATCTCTCATCATTTAATGACTTAGCATGCTGCTCAACTCCTTCCACCATAATTCAGTGGAGGCAGTGGCGGATTCACTCTTATTTCAAACTATTCACTTGAACACTAATTTCTCTAATTTAAAAAGAAGTACAAAACTACACACATATAAATTGATGTAATAATGAATTGTACTTAATTTGCGTAGTATGTCTAAGGTTAAGTTCATATAGTTTTTGTTGAAAAGTTGTACTACCTTCATCCGTAAATACTTTATCAACTTTACTTCTTCTTCTTTTGGATAGAGTATATATATATATATATATATATATATATATAGAGAGAGAGAGAGAGAGAGAGGAAAGTTCATGTCAGGACCTCCAAAAACGGACTTCCGTACGGACCTCGGCGTTTGGGCCCCTTCACCGGGAAAGTTCATGTCAGGAAAGTTCTCTCTCTCTCTCTCTCTCTCTCTATATATATATATATATATATATATATGACAAATATTCAGGTCCGGCCAGGCCGGACCACTCCCCCCGTCCGGCCTCCTCCATTTGGGGGCCTTCCCGATGGTAGTTTTTGCTCAAATTTTTTGTGTAGGTTCCTCATCAAGTCTAGTTTGTCCATACCAAATTTCAGCCAAAAATTCAATCGGGAAGGTCGTCAAATGATTTTTGCAAGTTAACTGGTCCGGAATATGTATTTTCCGGACCAGTTAACTTGCAAAAATCATTTGACGACCTTCCCGATTGAATTTTTGGCTGAAATTTGGTATGGATGAACTAGACTTGGTGAGGAACCTACACAAAAAATTTGAGCAACAAATACCACCGGGAAGGCCCCCAAATGGAGGAGGCCGGACGGGGCTCCGGTCAGGTATACCTGACCGGAAGACTACTCATATATATATATATATATATATATATATATATATATACTATCCAAAAGAAGAAGTAAAGTTGATAAAGTATTTACGGATGAAGGTAGTACAACTTTTCACTAAAAACTATATGAACTTAACCTTAGACATACTACGCAAATTAAGTACAATTCATTATTACATCAATTTATATGTGTGTACTTTTGTACTTCTTTTTAAATTAGAGAAATTAGTGTTCAAGTGAATAGTTTGAAATAAGAGTGAATCCGCCACTGCCTCCACTGAATTATGGTGGAAGGAGTTGAGCAGCATGCTAAGTCATTAAATGATGAGAGATTGCCCATAAAAAATAAGGGAAAAGAAAAAGATTAATTGAAGTAAATGAATAAGGGATGATGAGGTGGCGCCAACCAGGGACGGAGCCAGAACTCAGTCATAAGGGGGGCCAAGAACAAACACAAACACTAAAGAAAAAAAATCTCTAAATAGGACAAAAAAGTTTATAAACAGGATTATCATTGTTTTAATCTCAAAATAAGACTCATTGACTCCTATTTTGGCAAAATTTAATCAAATAATTTTTAATAGAACTAAATAAGATCTATTCAAGGAGTAAAACATATTTTTTCATATTTTTAATGAGGAATGATCCTTTCAGAATTACATGACGGGATCCACCATCCAGATGTCTGTGTTTGATGTGCTTCCAGATGGATTTTTTGGGTGAAATTTAATGACAATATTCTTCATGGTGTGTAGATTATTTACACCTAATTTCAGTTTAAAATTCAATCGACAAATCAGTTAAATAAATTATTGAAAAAACACTGTACCAAAAAATATATAAATAAAAAAACTCAGTGTTTTTCCATAATTTATTTCATTGACTCTCCAATTGCATGTAAGCTGAAATACGATGGATATAATATACGCTTTATGAAATACATGTTCACAAAAATTCATCAAAAAATTTTACCCGAAAGCATCTCACATAAAAGCTTCTATCGAGTAGTTTTGACCCAATCTTTACTGATTATTTCACTTATAATAGTAGTATTACTAAAAAATAAAAAAGTTGGGAGGGGCCATGGCCCCCTACCCATACACATACATCCGTCCCTGGCGCCAACACATGGGTTTAAATAGAACAAGGCCTGCTCAAATGAGAAATTGAATGTTTATCAGTGTTAATTGTGTATTTTTTTTTATCATTTTCAAAAAACTTTGAGGTCCTATGTGGTTGTTCTCCCAAAAAGTGAACACAAAGAAAACCCAAAAAGAAGAAGAAAGCAAGAAAAACTAAATTGTTATATAGTGGTATCAAAGTATCGTGTGCACCGTACTCCCTTACAATAGAAGGGTGTGTTATGTAATTACATCTATAAAAAGTGTTTGATATACTCTGTAACTCATGTAATATTTTTATGTAATTCATGTTATATTTTGGTTATCTAAAGTGCACTATTGTACCTAAATGATTTTTGTCGTCCACTTTTCTCATCCAGGGTACATTTTTGGACACAGGAAGTCCACTCGTTGGAAACAAGAAAAACTTTGACTTATTTACAAAAATGTCACCGCGATTGTCACCCATTTTAATACATTTTTGACATATATAGACCATTATATCTTAGTTTCGATGCACCAAATTTATTCTTACTTTCATGAGAAAGAGACTTTATATTTGATCTAAGGCTATGTTTGGCACGCATAAGTCCCTGCCTTCTAGCTTTTGTACCGTTCAAAAGGTTTCTAAAAGCTTCTAGTTGTATGTTTGGCATGACAATTTTTAAGAGCTTTTCAAAAATTAAAAGATCTTTTTTGAGATGGTACGGGGAGTAGCATCTGAGAAAAGCCTATGACTTTTAGTACTAATTAATACCAAACCAAACTAAATCAAACAGTCAGCTTTTTACCAAACAACTATCACCTTTTCTTTTTAAGATCTTTTACGTCACTAAAAGCTAACAGTTATTAAAAAGCTTACAAAAGTATCTTTTCAGCTAGTTGTGCCAAACACACCCTAAATCTAAATGTCATTATAAATAGAGTAAATATGTATGAATAATGTATAAGAGATGCGTAGATGGAGTCGTGGAGGTGGCTGTTTGGTTACCCCTGTTTAGCCTATCTTCAACATATCACTCTCATTAAGAGTAAATTTATGGAACCCCATATGACTCCCTTATGGAGTCATATGGGGTATTGTGACACCATCATCATTATTCATTTAGTTAGTGGAGGACCCCACAAAATAAATGAATGGTGATTGTGGTGCCACAATACCCCATATGACTCCATAAGGGAATCATATGGGGCTCCTTGAAATTATTGCTCTCATTAACCCATTTATTTGTATCAAACACATAACTTTTGATTTTGTTCACTGAAATCGTTTAATCAAAATAAATAAAGTCAATATTACCTTGGGAAAAGTACGGAAAAGATACTTGTGGTTGAACCTGTTTTCAAATAGGGTCATGTGTTTCATTCTTTATCAAAGTGATTCATGTGTTTGATGTATTGAATTGAAGTATTTAATACTAGTTTATACAAAGAACTGTGGAAGGAGGTGTATTCTGTGAACTTGTGAAGAATCTGTCCAAGTTGCCTTGTTAATAAGTGCTTATTTTTGGAAGCAGTGCTTATTGGTTTTATGGTTTGGCAGCATTGCTTATTCGTTTGGCAGCATCAGTGTTTTGATGTCATGGTTTCTCCTTTAATTCACTTTTATGTAGATAAATTGATGGGCTTTTTGGGTGCATTGATAAAAAAAGATAATATTAATTATATTTCGTATAATTTCTTTTTGGTAGCATACTTGGTTAACATGCTTATTAACAAGCTTCAGGCCAGGCCAGGCTTAGGCCGAAAATTAGGCCTTAAATAGGTAACAGGTCAGGTTCAGGCCTACACTTTTTAAAACAGGTCCGGCCTGTTTAGACAAAAGTCTAGCCTAGCCTGACCTGTGTCCACCCCTAGTCACCATGCCAATATTTTTGTCTTTTTACCTGTTCAATCATTTAATTTTCCTTTTCTTTTAACGAAGTGTGCAATTTTTGACTTCATATTTACTTCCTCTGGATTGCTTCGTCGGTTAGGACTAGGGGTGGAAACAGGTCAGGCCAGACTTTTGTCTAAACAGGCCGGCCTGTTTTAAAAAGTGTAGGCCTGAGTCTGGTCTATTACCTGTTTAAGGCCTAACTTTCGGCCTAAGCCTGACCTGCTAGAATGTCTGGCTTGGCCTGAAGCCTGTTAACCAAGCCTGCTACCAAAAAGAAATTTTACGAAATATAATCAATACTATCTTATTTTATCAATGCACCCAAAAAGCCCATCAATTTATCAACATAAAAGAAGTGAATTAAAGGAGAAGCCATGACATGAAAAGACTGATGATGCCAAACAAATAAGCATTGCTGCTAATCCATAAAACCAATAAGCACTGCTTCCAAACGAATAAGCATCCTGGACAGATTCTTCACAAGTTCACAGAATACACCTCCTTCCACAGCTCTTTGTATAAACTAGTATTAAATACTTAAATTCAATACATCAAAAAATTAAAAATTAAATCTTGATGATCCTTGCTTAAGCTATAAATATCATCCCAAAAATTAAATAAATAAGTAGAATGTACTAGTAGAAGTCCACTGTCCACATATATTGATCTCATTCAAACCAAATAAGAAACTTAATGACTTTTAACATGTCAAAAAAACTCTAAATTAAAATTTCAATACAAAAGAAAGCTAGCAAATAGCTTAAAGAAAATTTCAGCATCAATGCAAATTTCAGCAAAACTCAACAAGCACAATCCATAACAAAAAGCAAAGTTTTCAGAATACATGGTCCACAAAGCACCAAACCCAAGCAAACGCATAAAGGACCAGTAAAGCATCAAATCTTCAACATTATCTCTTCCTCTTCTTGAAGCTCACGTACCTAGAAAATGAAAGTATACACATTAGTACATCAATTTAAATATAAAATACATGTGAATACATAAAATATATACCTTTTTTATTTTTTCAAATTATACTTTTTGCGAAGCCAATCCCCAACACATAGAAGTGCTGAAACAGTTTCTTCATCTAGCCTTGAACGATATTCACCAATTACTCTTCCTCTTGCGCTAAATGTAGCCTCTGATGCAATTGTTGTGATTGGAATAGCTAGGATATCCACAACCATCTTTGATAAAACCTTATACTTCATACTATTGTTTTTCCACCACTCCAAAGCACAAAAAAGAGTTAGAACTAATATCATGGATAAATAGATCGTCCTCTAGATATACTTCTAGCTCAGATTTCGTCGGTGGTATTGCTTTCTTTTCGCGAACAATGCGCATAATTTGCTCAAAGCCCGTGCCTGACCCAGAACGTTGCTCTTGGTTGTTTAATTCAACATATTCTTTGTAAAGAGACTCCAATGAAGTCATAACCATTTCTATGTTCTTATTAGCCACCGTTTCAATTTTATAAATGAAAGGAAAACAATAATTGACAACATGAAACTTGCACCTGGGATCTAAGACACTTGAAATGGACATCAACAGACTGCATTCCCCCCAATATTTATCAAATTTTTCTTTCATTGCAGCTGCCATTTATCTCATGAATAATTCTGCATCTTCTGCCGCTTGATCAATAACGTGCTTAACCCTCCAAACCTCAGGTAAGTATAAATTGGCAGTTGGATAATCAGTGCCAGACATGACATCAGATGCGGAATTGAAAACCTCTAACAGTTGACAAACCTTCTCAACCTTACACCATTCTTCGAGAGATGGCTCATTATTATAATGTAGCTTTCTTTCCTTGTAGGCAGGGAACACAATCTTGAATCTTAAAGCACAAGATAACATCTTAAATGTTGAATTCCTCCTTGTCAGGCAATCAAGGATTAGCATTCTTTCTTTCAAATGCTTTTGCACGACAATATCAGAAAATGATTTCAATCTTGAATCATTGTAATTAATATACTTCACACTCTCTCGAACATTATGAATGATACCTTTTATCTTACTGAGTCCATCTTGGACCAGTAAATTCAAAATATGAGCGCAACATCTTACATGAAACAACTTACCATTACAGATTAATTAGGGAAAACTGTCAAATAGGTCCTCGAACTTTCATAAAAAGGTCAATTAAGAGATTTTGGGGTAGTTCCCGGTGGAATTTTGTCTGGCCGTCGCGATTTGGGGTAGTTCCCGGTGGAATTTTTTGATGAAATTTTTTGAGCATCTTATTCACCAAGTCTAGTTTACTCATACCAAATTTTAGCTAAAAATTCAATCGGGAACACATTCAAATTATTTCTTGAAGATAACTGCGCATTTTTGCGTTCTCAAATTAATTTGAATGCGCTCCCGATTAAATTTTTAGCTGAAATTTGGTATGAGTAAACTAGACTTGATGAATAAGATGCTCAAAAAATTTCATCAAAAAATTCCACCGAGAACCGCCCCAAATCGCGACGACCGGACAGAGTCTCCTATAGAAGGACTTAATTGACTTTTTTATGAAAGTTCGAGGACCTATTTGACAGTTTTCCCATTAACTAATTTTCAAGCAATAAATCATCCTTAAGGTTCTTCTAGCAAGAATCGTTGTACTTAGCATTATCAACTGATACAGAAAATACCTTTTCTTCAATCCCCGAAACTTTAAGACACTTGAATATAACATCTGCCACATCCACACCACGCCGAGGAGCAGGAACTTTAACAAAACTTAAAACCCTCTTTTGAAGATTCCAGCCAACATCAATAAAATGTCCAGTCAAAACCATATACTCAGCTACTTGATGCGTTGATCTCCACATATCAGTAGTTAAGGAAATCTTGCTCAAAGACGTTAACAAAGTTTTTAACACTTTCTCTCTGCTTCATAAATTTTAATACAATCACTTCGAGCTGTTTTGCGACATACCTTGCAAAATTCAGGATTTGCATATTGGAAGTCCCACATCCAAACTTCATCCTCAACAATGCTAAAAGGGTACTCGTGTATCATGATTGCTGTCACAATTATTTCTCTCATCTTCTCATTTGAATATCTAACGCCCGGTGTCTGAAAAGGATTGATTGTTGTGGCAGAGGGTTGAAATGGAATGATGCATTGCATCTTTTGTTTGGCTAAGTTTAAACTCCTCTTCAAGCAAATATCCATGTGTCTCTTCAAGTGGCTCGTGCTAGCTCCCTTCCCCGAGTAGGCAAACTTGCCCCGACAGTGTTTGCAAACTGCTTTTGTCACTCCTTTGCTGATCTCGGTAAGTACAAAGTCATCCCAAACATATGATGTCTTCTTCCTTTTCCTTTGAATAATAGAATTGTCTTGATTACCCTCATTAGTTTGGTCATTGTTCACTTCTTGTTGGCTTGAATCAGTTGGTACTTGTGAACCACAATCCATATCATGATTAGTGGCAGTTGAAATTGTGTCAATATTCTCTGCATTCTCTTGTGGAGAAGACATCATATAGACCTAAAAATGTATGTAGATAAGAAATCAGATTATGGTTTAATGAAAAATTGAATACAAAAGTAATGAAAACCTCAATCAATTTGGAAAAATGCCAAAGAAATGTAAACAAGGCAATGTTAATGAACAATGAGTGTCAATAAGTATACAGGAACACAAATTAAAGCAAATGATTTACTGATATTTGCATTACCCACCAACTGCAAAGGATGATGCAATTACTAACTGGTGACTTTTCCCGGATATAATAGTCAAATAAGTATTGCAGAATATATAAGATTTAGACATTTAGAGAATTTAATGAATATGACTAAAAGATAACACATGGTTTCAAATAGGTCCAACTTTGGTTTTTCCTGAGAATAGCACTCAATCATCCAAGAAAAGAACTAGTAATACTTATATTCCTTTTTAGATTTTAGATAAGTAACCAAATACTTAAAACTTAAAAGAGATTCCTCAACATTCCAGCCGGGCCTACCCATGTGTCTCTTGCAGGAAGTGATGACTAAGCAACAAGGAAACTAGTGATCTGGCAATCAGCTTGTAAAATTTTCATGGCTGCTTGGTAGCTATAATTTCCCTCTGAAATCACGTTGAGTGCGACCTAGTTCCATCTATTTTAGAGGCAGTGTCTAACCCCACCTACCCCAGTTTCAACTAAGTCCTGTTGTGGAACCTATTGCTATTTACCACATTGATTCTAAGTTATTTCTAACCTAAGTAAAATAAACACAACTTGAAGATTAGAAAAAATATTCTGACTAAAAGAAGCAACATATTATGGGTATGATAGAGATTGGTCAAAATAACTAAGAAGAAATACAAACCTTGGCAAAAAAAACATAGAGAAGCGATACAATAAAAACATACCTTGTATTAATATGCTAGGTACTTTAAAATTTTGAGCAGGGGACTGAATGCTCTAGATTCTTCTCCCTGGAACTCAACTGGCCGCCAACACCACCAGAAGGACGAAGAAGATTTGAAAAGACGAACAGCTGTCCGTCGAACTACCGTCAAAGCTCAAAGCCTGACTCTAGACTATCGATCTGCGACTCTGCGTATATTTTGGTTTCTAGGTTTAGAGCATTACTGCATTAGTTTAGAACATTTAGTTTACAATTAGAAGTATATTGGGCTTTCACTTTAATGTAGATCATATATGTATAAATATATTCTAGCCCATGACCATAAACAGGTCGGCCTGTCAGGCTAAATAGGCCTTAAAATCAGGCTAAGCCTGGCCTATTAATATAAACGAATATTTAAAAAGGCCGAAGCCTGTTTTTTTTTCTATACAGGCCAGGCCGTAACCAGGCCAAGCCCCAGGCCCCTGATAGGCCGCCTGGCCTATTCCCACCCCTATTTAGGACCAGTCACTTTGCTCTATTCCAGGCCACAACTCGTCGTCCACCATCAGTCGGTCAACGACGCCCGCCGCCACCAGTGTCCAATCGTGCGACCAGCCTACCCACGTTTGAAGTTCTTGTCTGCCGTCGTACTCCATCAGCCCCCGACGCTCGCTGCGAGCAAACAAAACACCTCAGCTACACTGGCGTTGTCGTTGTAGTGCCGGACGCCGAACTCCGCCCTGCTGTTGGTTGTCTCCGCTCCAGGTCGCGGCTCGTCCCCTCTGCTGCACCCTGTCTTAGCCGCTGTCACTGTGTAGTTTGGGCTGCGGGCACTCTAGGGCGAAGGCACACCACCGCCATCGTCGGGCACTGGCGCGTTCCGGTGACATCCAGAACTGTTCGCCGCTGTCGTCTACCACCTGCGCCGCCTCCGTTTAACACCTGTGCCGTCGTTGCCCTGCTCCTGGCGTGGACCCCATATTCAAATTTGGCCGACGCCGCTTGCTAGGGTATGCAGGTATGCTTTCTTCTCTTCTTTCTCTTTATTCGCTAATTCTATTTTGACTTCTCTTTGAGGGCTTTGACCGTGGCTCCTTTGGAGCTTATTTTGACTTTTTCTTTTCTATTTCGTTGATTCCTGGTGTTAATGTTGATGATATCTATTGTTTTGAATAGTTGCCATCAATATATGGACATTTTCAACTCCATAAATTCCGATGATTTACCAAGTAATGACAGTGAATTAGTGTTGGAGAATTTGTCTCATACCTTGGAAGATGTTTATTCGGACGTCGAAGAGATTAGTCTCGTAAAGTCACAAACCGCTCTGATCAAGCCACCAAAACGTCGCAACCGTGGCCCGTATCCATCCTTAGACCCGGGCCTCATTTTATGTTACAAGTCGCGCCTCTCAGTTTCCAAATTTCAAAAGTGTAAGAAATTTTTCCGTCCACGGTGACTGTCCGATGTCCAGGTTCGAAGGATATTGTAACTGATCCTCCTAAGGGTCACTTTTTCGGGCTGCATATCCATTCCATAAAATTAGGATTTCGCTTTCCCACACACCATTTGATCATCGAGATCTTAAATGTTCTTTAAATTTCACCTTGTCACCTGACTCCGCTCGGTCATAAGTATCTGGCAGCTTTTTTGGTCCGATATAACACACATGGGATTAAACACTCTTCTTTCCAATTAGCTTTGTTGTTACGAGTGACCTTCCACATGTCAAAGTGGTTACGTTGAGAAATAGACACCCAAGACCGACTATCGGATGCCGAGCACTGCCCAACTCGAAACATATGCTTGAAAAGATCTGGGGATGGTTTAATCCTAAGTGTGTTACATCGAACCAAGAAAGCTACCAAATACTGATGACCAAGCGGAGTCAGGTGACAAGGTGAAATTTCAAGGTCATTTAAGAACTTGATGATCAAAGGGTGTGTGGGAAAGCGAAATCCTAATTTTATGGAAAGGATACGCACCCCGAAAAAGTGACCCTTAGGAGGATCAGTTACAATATTCTCCGTGTCTGGACATCGGACAGTCACTGTGGATGGGAAAATTTTCTTATACTTTTGAAATTTGGAAATTGAGAGGCACGACTTGTAACGTAAAATGGGGCTCTGGTCTAAGAATGGATACGGGTCACGGTCACGACGTTTTGGTGGCTTGACCGGATCGGCTCGTGACTTTACGGGACTAATTTCTTCGACGTCCGAATTAGCATCTGCCAAAGGACGTGAAAAATTCTCCTAACACTAATTCACCCTCATCACTTGATAAATCATCAGAATTTATGGAATTTAATACGTCCATAAATTGATGAAAAGTTGAAAACTATTCAAAATAATGACAAAGGACATCATCAAAATTAACATTCCATGATAAATAAGATAGAAAAGAAAAGAGTCAAAATCTTTTATTATACAAAAGCAGGAGGAAAAAGGAACAGTGTTCCCGCCCAAAGTGTTGGGTCAAATATGGGTCGGGTAAACAGTGATGGATCTTGGTGGAGTGTTGGGCAGGACAACTCATTTAATGTTACATTGATGAGTACAACTCATTTAATATTTTTAGGTCGGTTCAAGAGAATAGATTGCAGTTGATTGGACTGTTTGGTACTTAATTTGAAATTTTAAATATGTAGCGTGTAACACACTCATAGATACAACGGACAAATGAATTGTTCATTGAATAATAAGAGCTATTGAGCGCTATTGAGCTGGCATGTAAATAAATGATTTTATTTAGACATAAAAGAAAATACTACTTCGTATTCCGTATCTATTATGCAATTAATGCAGTCTAAAAGAAATTCAACTTTTGACTTTTCAGACTTGGTGGCTCAATGCTGAGAATCTTTTGCCTGCAAATATAAAAAAAACGTACATCAGTGGTTAATTAATTGTTTAATGCAATAAAGAGGACGATTTTAATAATAAAAAAAGGGCATGTGTAATTTAATGTTTGTACTACAAAGTTTAAATTCAAGATTGATGAGTACGAATTGTCCATTGGTTAAAAACCATTTCCTTTCTTCAGCCAGTATATATACCCTTTCTATGGGTTGCAAACCATAACTACTTTAGGAGTGGGGAGAATGTGAGAAACAAGAAGTTGAAAAGAGGTAAATTATGTGCTTGAAACTCTTCTCAAAATTTATTCAAATAAGAATAAGAATTTAATGTGTTTTTTGTAGTATTCATCTCAGGTTAACAATCATTCAAAATATCAGAAATGGTGTATTGATGGTACAATGAGCAATTACAAATATCCAGCTTATTGGTAAGACTCAATCTCTAATTATTTTCTAGCATTCCTATTCTGTTGTATGCTTTCTAACAGTTGGATAAGCACATATCTTTGGCAGGATTGTGAGAAAATGTGTTTCTCAAACACATAACGTCAATGACAACAACAAGGATTGGCAGCTTAGGGGAAAGGCTACAACTTATTGGAAATATGCACATAAAGGGTTTATGCAGTTTAAGAAAGTTTTGTCAATTCAAACAAGTGATGCATTCCAGTCCTAACAGTTTAAAATGTAAAGTATAAAAAAAATTAGATTACACAGAGTTTACCGAACTTGAATCATTCGAATAATATTTCATTTGAAACATGAAAAATTGCATTACAGACCATGTATGACCACTTGCAGACAAGATCTTGGAGTTATTGAACTTTAAATTTAAGATGTCCAAAAAAATAAAGAGGAACATATTACATACTTTGTACTGAACTCTTTGCAAGAAAAAATGACTTACACATTACAAATGGTTATAGTACATACTCCGTATGTTATTTTTTACCTTTGGCCATCTTCTAAATTGTCATTACCTTTGCCTCGGAGATCTATAAATATACAGTACAGATTTTAGTACAGATTTTAATAGTATTCAGTATAAGCACTATATTGAACAAACCATCATCCCTTAAATATACATTAAAGATGTAATAATACTTTGGGTATATCTATATATTAAAAGTTTAATTTATTTTAGGAATTCAAGACTTCTGTGCTTGAGTATGCATAACCCACATTGGCCTAAGCTAAGTCAATATATCCTAAATGAATACATAAGAACAGCCAATTAGTAAGAAAAAATTTAATATTTTATATATTTTGAAAACAACAATTGTTACATAAAATCTTTTTTTAAACTGAAGTAAAACATGTCACAAAAGCGACAAACAGTGCCAAACAGTGTCTCAACAGTGCCAAACAGTGTCAAACAGTGCCTCAACGGTGTACTCTACAGTAAAGTCAAATTTCTTTCCTTATTTTGTGTGAAGTCAAACTGTGAAGATTAAAAAAAACCAGAGGTAGTATCATTTATTTAAGCAATGTTCATTTTTCATGATTTGGTTTTTTATATTGAAAGGAAAATTGGGAGCCAGATGTAAGGGTTTCAGAATTTTGATTTGCAGTCACGCAGTGAACAAATCAACTACTGTCAATAATGTTGTTTATAAAGAAGTGTTTCAAAATATGTAGTCATTGACAAACTGATTTTAATATTTATATAATCATTTTTCCTGTGAGGTATTTAATCCCTTTCATGCTTAAACATACTTCATACCAATTATGAGTTTAAATATCTTTTTCTTAATTATAATTTTACATTATTTATTACATTTATACTCTTTTCATTTATTTTCACATAATTAATAATTCTCACAGATCATGTAATATTACTCGGGTACATAGCATTACTTAATTTTTGTCCCGTGCATCGCACGAGTGAGAATCTAGTAGACTCCAAAGGAGCCACGGTCACAGAACCAAGAATGAGTCAAAGAAAGTCAAAATAAAAGATAGCAAATAAATTGGAAGATAGGGAAGTAGCGTACCTGTGTAGTGCGTACCCTAGCAAACGGCGGCGGCTGAATCAGAATGGACACCTAGAGCGACGGCGCGGGTGGAAGACGGCGACGTTGCAGGTAGTAGACAGCGACGGAGAACAGTCCTTGATATCACCGGAGTGTGCTGACGCCCGGCGACAGAGGACCAACGACGGTGATGCAACTTCACCTAAGAGCGGCCGCAGCCCAGGCTACACATCGGCGGCGGTTGAGATAAAGCAACGGGGAAGATGAGTCGCGACCGGAAGCGAAGACAACCGCCGGTGGTTGAACTATTTCTCTGCCTCACCGCGGCCGGGGGAAGCTGACGAAGGGCGACGATAGATGGGAACTCCGACTAGAGGGGT